GCATGGTATACAAGTTTTAAAACGGTAAGGACAGTCTTTATACCAATGCCAAGTCCCACAGCGATAGCATGGACTGGGTGGTAGTTTTTTCTGATATTGATATTGAGACGATAGACATGTCATTCAAATGAAAACTCAACTGCCGAGACAACGTGGTCGTAGTATGACCAACATAGTTTTTTTCCGTTGGAGATACAATCTTTCAAAAGACATTTAAATTTTTACACAATATTGGTTTTCTACAGCACATTGGTTGGTGGGAAGGAATCGTTACGAATGACTAAATTGGATATTCTGGATTTAGTGTAGTATATAATTAATTTTATTTTTTTATTATCATCATTGGTAGATATTTTGGTATTAATTTTTTTTTAGGATATATTCGTCTTGTTTATAATTAGAATGCATTTATTTACGATATAGAAGATTAATATATTTGGGGTTGAAGCAATATTATATTCAATTTGCTTTATATTAGCATTACTGATAGAGCATCTTAGTTATTATAATATATAATATACAATATAATTAGGAAAGTTATTAGTAATAAGAGTTTGTTTTTTTTTTTTGTTTTTTAGTTCGCCGTAGAAGATTTGTTTAGCAGAAAAATTATATTTTGCAGGGTTTATAAGTTCTTTTTATAATTGATATTTTATAATAATTTGGACATTCACTCTTATAGTTAAGGGTGTACGAATTTATGCTGGTGAGTTTTTTTTTATATGGGGAGATAGTGAATTTATCAGGTTTAGTATTTATAAATACATCTAGAAAAATAATTTTGTTACTATTATTAAGTTCGTATGTAAATTATTTTGGAATTGTCTTTGGAATTAATGAATTTCTTCCATATGCTTGACTAATTATCGACGTATTATAGTAGAATTCGAAATGGCTAAATTTAACTGTAAGTTATATGCTAACAGCTTCTTATATGGTTTGTGAGACTCTCTTCCTACTTCTTGTCTTCTAGTAATGTTTGATCCTCAAAAGTTTAAATCCAGTGTCACTCGTTATATAATGCTTTCTTATTTCCTGTATTTTTGTTGTTGTTTTCCGTCCTTTATATTTTTCTTCGTCTTATATTCTTTCACATTCAATAAAACCCTTTGAGTCTTAGTGGATTTTTTGCTGTACTTGGGGTGAAATTATTCGACAAGGACCGTCATCTTCAGGAGCCGCAATGTTAAATCGCTTGAAGCCATTTTTAGTTACTGATCTGAGAAAACGGTTGCATATAGCTGATAATTTTGACATTCCTGAACGAGTTGAAAACAATGCATGTTATTCTTATGCGAATCACGTCTATTTAAGTACAAGGATAGAGATCTTAGTTTTAAATTTTGTCACATATTACACAGTTGTTAGCATAGCTTGTTTTGTGTTCAATTTTCTCATCTCCTATAATAGTAGTAATAATAATAATAATAATAATAATTATTATTATTATTATTATTATTATTATTACAATGACAGGGGATTAATAATAATAATAATAATAAACATAATAATAATAATAATAATGAGAGGGGATTAATAATAATAATAATAATAATAATAATAATGAACGAAAGACCTTGAAATAGAAATCTCAAAAATGTGGCATATGGGAACATCAACAAATCCCTGTTGTAGTTGAAGCCCTAGGATTGGTTGGAAAATATTCCAGTAGACTAATTGAAGGGATTCCTGGACGTCCATGCCTCAAAGAGATAAAAAATTGTTCTGACAAGTACAGCCCACACTTTACGAATGGCTTTATCTATATATTTCTTTTTTTTTTTTTTTTTGTCAGTGGAAAGTGTCATGATGCCATTTCTAACCTTAGGTACCTGGGCGGGACCCGGAAAGAAATGTGTAAACGCCAGAAATCAAAGAAAATAATAATAATAATAATTATTATTATAATAATATGGCCAATACTCTGCCCGTACCAAACACGCTGACGTAGACAAAACCCGTACCCATCAGTGGCTACGTAGTGCAGGGTTGAAAGCGGAAACTGAAGGTTTTATCCTTGCTGCGCAGGACCAATGCTTGCTAACTAGGAATTATCAAGCACATATACTAAAATATTGTGTCAGCCCAAAATGCAGATTCTGTGATAAATATCCAGAAACGATTGATCATCTTGTAGCAGGTTGTACGGTGCTGGCACCCACTGAATATAAAACCCGACATGACAGAGTGGGCCAATATCTGCACTGGAAAATCTGCAACTTCTACGGGAAGAAAACTGAAAGAAACTGGTATGAACACCACCCAGACCCGGTTACGGAGATAAGACCTGTTACAATTCAATGGGACTACACAATACACACTGACAGAACAATCAAGGCCAACCGCCCAGATATTGTTATTAAAGACCACAAACAAAAACGGTGCGTCCTTATTGATATGGCAGTCCCTGCCGACTGCAATGTATCTTTGAAGATATTCAAAAAGTTGTCAAAGTACAAGGACCTTGAAATAGAAATCTCGAAAATGTGGCATATGGGAACATCAACAATCCCTGTTGTAGTTGGAGCCCTAGGACTGGTTGGAAAAGATTCCAGTAGACTAATTGAAGGGATTCCTGGAAGTCCATGCCTCAAGGAGATACAGAAAATTGTTCTGAAAAGTACAGCCCACACCTTACGAAGGGCTTTATCTATGTAATCATTTTTTTTTTTTTTTTTGTCAGTGGAAAATGTCATGACGCCATGTCTAACCTTAGGTCCCTGGGCGGGACCCGGAAAGAATTGTGTAAACGCCAGAAATCAAAGAAAATAATAATAATAATAATAATAATAATAAAAGAGCCTAAAAAGTTTGTTTACTGCAGGATTATAACGTGCCACTGAATGTTTTATTCTTGCTGCACATGACCAATGCTTGCTAATTAGAAATTGTCAAGGAAACATACTGCAATATTGTGTTGACCCAAAATGTATATTCCGTGATGAATATCCAAAAACAATTGACCATCATGTATCAGGATGCTCGGTATTAGTATTCAACGAATATAAAACTCGTTATGACAGGGTGTGTCAATATCTGCACGGAAAAATCCTCGTGGGAAAGAAACTGTAAGAAACTGGTATGGACATCACCCAGCCCAATTACAGACATAGGAACTGTAACAATTTTTATGGGACAATGTAAATGGAAGAATCAAAGTTAATCGTCCAGATATAATGATCAATGAGTGTAAAAAACGAAATGTGCTCTCTTATTGACATAGCAGTTCCTGCAGAGTGTAATGGAGCTTTGTAGATTTTCAAGATACAAGGATATTGAAATGAAAATCTCAAATGTGGCAGATAAAGGCATCAATAATTCCACTTGTGTTTGGGGCCCTGGGTTTTATTGGAACAGGTTCTGAAGAGGTCCCTGGGAACCCATGGCATAAATAAAAGCAACACAATTTTCTCACAAGCAGAGCTCACACCCGACTTAGGACATTATCTATGTAAAATATAGGTGAGTTTAGGTTGTTTAATTTCTTTAAAATTATTTTTTACACAAATATATTGTAGAAACCCAGAAGAAAATCTATATACAGTAGAACTAAAAGGAAATATTATTATTATTATTATTATTATTAATAATAATAATAATAATAATAATAATAATAATAATAATAGCTGGCATAGAAACAGAGACTGAGAAAAATTATTTCAAACTTTTCCAGTATTTGAACTGAAATCGCCGATTTCATATTCATGCGTCAATAACTGTAACGCGAGAACGCTCTTTCTCTCTCATATATATATATATATATATATATATATATATATATATATATATATATATATATATATATATATATATATATATATATATATATATATATATTATATATATATATATATATATATATATATATATATAATATAATATATATATATATATATATATATATATATATATATATATATATATATATATATATATATATATATATATATATATATATATATATATATATACGTAAAGGTATGCATTTGATAGTGTAAGCGCATGTGAACGTCTACACATTACGTTATGCGTTTATAAGCACACATATGTACGGATATGCATAAACTTCTTCACCTTAAACATATAAGTTTTTATATATATATTTTGCTTACACATGAATGACTGCGTTCTCAGCAAATTGTGCGTCTATAAACACGAGCCTAAATCTATGAGACTATGTATGCTTTTGCGAGTCTGGGTGAAGGCACATGCGTGGATATATCTGTGTAAACGCATTCACACTGGTGTTGTGATGTAAATCTTTAGGGATTTTTTTCCCATTAATCTCTTTTCCAAAAATATTTTCGGGTGGAAAAGAAACTAAATTGGCGTTTACTTGCTTTTCTCATATCCAAAGCATATTTTCTCTTTGGCAAAAGGAATAAATAAATAAATAAAAACGTTCGTACTTTTTCTCTAATCAACAAGCAGATGGATTGGATTTGAAATCTTAAGTCGTCTCCAGAGAACCAAGTAAGCATGCCACACACGAGAAAGATTCCTCTATTCGTATCAGGAAAAAAAGGAAAGCAAAAACAATTAAAGAAATAGAGAAACATAATTGGAATAAAGTTGAAGTGAAAAAAGTTATTAGTAAATTACAGAAGACATAAAAGAGGAAAATGATGAAGAGAAAAAGGAAAAATGCTGAAAGAAAAGAAAGATAGAAATTAAATACAAATACAAATGAATGGAAAAAAAAAGAATGAATAACTGAATGGATATGACAAAAATAACGTATCGAAACGAAATGGAGAAAAACAAGTAAAAAAATCGAAATGGATAAAAGAAACAAAATGAAACGAAATGGAGAAAAGAAAAGTAAACAAAATGAAACAAAATTGAGAAAAGAACATGAAATAACGAAAAGGAAAGTATAAAAACGGAATGAAAATAAAAGCAAACGAAACGAAAGCGAGAAAAGAAAAGTAAGCGAAATTAAATGAAGAAAAAGGAAAGTGAAAAGTAAATGGAGGAAAGAAAATTAAAACAAACGAAATTTAGAAAAGAAAATTAAGCAAAGTGAAATGAAGAAAAAGAAGAAAAAAAACAAAACGGAGAAAAAAAAATGGAGGAAAGAAAATTAAGGAAAAAAAATGCAGAAAATGAAAATATAAAAACGGAATAAGAAAATGAAAAGAAACGAAAGCGTGAAAAGAAAAGTAGGCGAAGTGTAATGAAGAAGAGCGAAAATAAAAACGAAATGGAGAAAAGAAAACTAAACGAAACGAAACAGAGAAAGGAAAATTAATCGAATTGAAATGAAATGAAAAATAAATGAAAAACGAAATGGAGATAAGAAAAGTAAGCGAAACGAAAGAGAGAAATGAAGAAATGAAGAGATTAACAGGCAATGAAATTAATAACGTTTTATATGTATCAATAAATAAATGAAAAAAAAAGAAGAAATAAAACAATAAAACTAAAGAAAAAAGCAATGTGGAAAGAAAAATAGGAAACTAATGTATGCGGAAATAAAGGAGAAGCCGTAGAACGTAAAATTTTAAGTAATTTTCAAGTAATAAATATTTCTATTTTTAATGGATATTTTATTGGGAGCTTTGACGAAGTTCTTTATAATTTTAATGCCTTTAATCACGTTTTGAACAGATCTATTATTCACCAGTTCAATTGAACTCTTGAGTAGATTTGATTTTGAAGGGCACGATATTATCATAAAGAGAGATCTTATCTTCTTCTTCTTCTTCATTTCCTTCTTCTTCTTCTTCTTCTTCTTCTTCTTCTTCTTCTTATTATTATTATTATTATTATTATTAATATTATTATACAACAACAACCACAACAACAACAACAATAATAATAATAATAATAATAATATCTCTTCTTCATGCGCGTTTTTTCGTTTTCAACTTTAGATTTCATATTACCGGTGTTCTCCAGAAAGTCTTGCAACTCCAGACAGCACGTTTCGCAGAATATTTGCAGTGCAAAGCAACGCAGTCTTATAAACCGATGGAATAATTGGCTTTGTTCTGATTTCTTAATATAAGAACTTTAAATTCGACTGTATAGACCCCAGCAACCCAATTATAATAGGGACAATAGTGGGCTGAACATCTTTCTTTCTGGCAACCTCAGTCCAGAGGTCAATGTATATTTTAAGCTTTTCGATTTCTTTGATTTTCATATTATGGTGACCAGGCGCAGCAACACCGATGCAAGTATTATTATTATTATTATGTTTATTTCCTTTGATTACTGGTGTAATTTCATTTCTTTCCGGATCCAGACCAGAGACCTAAGGTCAAAAATGGCATCGTGACATTTTCCACTGAGCAATTAAAAAAATATTCTACATAGATAAAGCCTTTTCTAAGGTGTGCGTTATACCCGTGAGAACTTTTTCTTTATTTCTTTAAGGCATGGGCTACCAGGAATCACTTCAATCAGATTACGGGAATATTTTCCAATCAATCCGAGGGCTCCAACTACAACTGGAATTGTTGATGTGCACATTTGCCCCATTTTAGAGATTTCGATTTCAAGTATTGGACGTTATTATTATTATTATTATTATTATTATTATTAGTAGTAGTAGTAGTAGTAGTAGTAGGATTAGTATTACTAATATTATTATTATTAAAGTATTATTAATACTAGTATTACTAATATTATTATTATTAAAGTATTACTACTTCACCAATATAACTACTAATGTATAGTGTCAGTATTTCGAAAGTCGTAAGAAAGATGTGATTATAAAAGCTTTGGAATCCTAGTAGACCGATTCGTCGTGCCTTGAAGACCAATATTTGCTATATAGGTTACGAATTCGAACCTCGTCTCAAGCTACAGTTATTGTGAATGTGTAAAGTATACTTTTGTTCGTTAAAGTGCGAAAATTCGAAATGAAGATGCAGCTTCGGACTAGACATGAGTCCATTTTCAGTGAAGTCGGTTTAAGTAAAGTAAGAATAAAAAGGAAGTAAAGCAGCCGATGTTATTACAATGAAGTATATTTATCGAGAAAATGGGAAAGGTACAAAAGTAAATCACAATCTGGAAAGAGCGCCCCAAAGGCTGTCAGTTACTGCATACCATTTTATTCGCTCAACACTTGCATCGACTTCGCGTCTAATCAGTTAAGAGAAGAGGCGAGATGCGCTGCATAGTTAACTCTCGATATCCCGTAAAATCATTCTCTATCTAATTTCAGCATTACATCTTCAGTGTATGTATATATATATATATATATATATATATATATATATACATACATACACACACACACACACACACACATATATATATATATATATATATATATATATATATATCTTTTAAGACATTTTGTGTTTATACATTCTTTTTTATAGATTCAAATATTTAAATAAATGCTCTGTTTATAATAAACAGTATTAACAACATTTACCGGCCTGAATGTCCGAGAAATTGTCTTAGAAAATATGCGTCCTCCGACAGGAATCGAATCTGTATCCTATACGGAACCGTCATATAGCCTGACATGCTTTTACCAATTTCGCCACAGAGGAGCAAGGTCGATTTTACTGCTATTAAACTACAATTTTCCATGATTTTCTCACGTACATTCATATCTAATCGATGCGTATCCAAATGTAAACAAATGGCGTCACACATTATGAAATGGACAAAGTTCGACAATTATTTTAAGACATTTTTATGCCTATTTTATTTTTTTTGTACAAACATAAAAATGACTTTGTCTATTTCATAATATATATGTATGTATGTATATTTTTATGAAGAAACCCCCCCCTCTCTCTCTCTCTCTCTATATATATATATATATATATATATATATATATACCCCACTAGAGACTGATACCATAAACAGTTTGAAAAATCCAGTGAATTTTAAAATTAAATTTTGTAGGTAAAAATGGTCATTAACTAAAGATATCTTAATTGCAATTGTAAAGAAAATTTGGTCTGTCTAATGAAACTAAATAAACATTGACCGGTCTTTTGTGAGTTAGTTTTAACATATTTCAAATTCTAATGTCTTAAATTTTGTGTTAATAGGACTCACCTGGATTACTATCAGTATATATATATATATATATATATATATATATATATAGGCTTAATGCAAATACAAACTTAACACTTACCTGATTAGCTGATGTTATATTCAGCACCTCTATTCCGATTTTTCTTAGACGAACCGTTTTTCTAATTGTTCAGTCCACACGTCAGGAGTTTTTAGCAGCTAACAGCCGTTTTTCTGATTCTTTTTAAATATTTATACTAAGTTTGATTTATTTAATTTATGCGCGAGTTTGGATATATATATTTATATGTCAAGATCTCCAGGACGGAATTTCCTTATTCCCTACACAACAAGTAATTGAATAGTCTTGTGGGTGCATTTCTTGTCCCGTACGATTGTATGATGAGAGTCTATTTTTTCTCGCGAACTGTTGTCGTCGGATGTAATCTTGAAACTAAAGTTACAATACAAAAATCCCACTTGGTAATATATGTTGCGTGGGCGTAGTTGACCGATTCTTTCTCACTTTTTTTTAGGTCATTCTGTTTGTTGTCAAGCGTCCCCAAATTTGTTTCCTGTCCTCTCTTAGCCGAAACACGACTCAGTTCACATGGGTAGTAAAACAAAATGAAAAAAAAAAAAGAAAGAAAAGAAAAACGAGGAGAAGAAGAAACACAAAGATAGAGCATCTCTTATTAAAATTATTGCACCTCTGATTTAACACTTAACACTGAGGGCCATTAACACCTCCACACCTAAAGAAGAAAATGGCTATTTTTTCTTAAGACAAGAATTATGCTAGACATAGGATAAGGCGTCAGTGCACACATTGAAAACACCTTTAATGTGGCTTATGTCAAGATCATATTCTTGCAATGCCAGATTCAAACATAAGTCTTCTATTTTTAATTTTCATCGTATTTCAAAACGGGATACTAGGTACAAAGAATCTCTATATTTTCAACTGATGCCGACATATGGACCGCTAATATAGTGTCAATCTTTCCCCTTTAATAATAGTACTTTATCATATCGATATAGCACAGATGAGCAAGAAACAGACGTTCTGTTATCTGCCGGCCAAGTAAGTGCTATCTTGCTCATTAATGCAGCAGCTTCTGTACGGAATTTATACAGCAAGGTCTAAGGATACCTGTATCACCTGGTCCTCAACATCAACACTTTCAACTAGTTCCTGCTTCAGAAGTATAATCAGAATAGCATGAATTGTCACCCTAACTTGGTCATCATTGTCATTGAGGTATTTCACAAGAGGAAGATTGTGAATGGCAACAGTAATTTGGAACCAAGTTCCAGTCCTCTTGGCAATATATCGCCACATAAGGAACTTGTTCTATCAGATCAGAACGAACGGTTGGTTCAACATCACTTGACAGGCGTACCATGGCCCGTAGAACAGCAATACAGCCCACTTCAGCGCTTCCAGCTGCAACTTGCCAGAATTCCTTTTACTAGCAACTGCCGACTGAATGCATTGTCGCCATCCATACATTTTTCCAGCATCTGAAGTTCTGTAAGGCTGTCATCCGAACAGAAAGATATGACACAATTTCAACCTTCCAATCCAAATCCTGATGATTAATCGTCTTATGGAATAACTTCCGATTCCTCCTGATAGAAGTTGACGTCCGCCATATTGTGGGTATCCATTGCTCAATATTCCGAAGCTGGGATAGTTAGTTTCTAAGCATAGCTTAGATGTGGCACAAGACCGAAAATATGGGGCACCTAGTGAGGATCAAACTCACTTTTCAGTTGTAACTGATCTAGCGAGACAAGCTTGTTAAGCATTACTCCACGCCGAAAAGCCCCCCTCCAAAGCTGGGACATGTGGAGGTCGTCACTCCCTCAGTAAAACATAGTTTTCAACGAAGTATCCTGTTGGAATTTTCTCCAGCTCTTCTTTTGGCAATGCGTGATTAAAAGATCGAGTAATTTTGGGATCTCTCCTCTATTCTGTCCTGAGTTGTCTCTTTGAAAGATCCATAGCTCGCTCTGCATTAGCAATGCTATTCCTTTTCTTGAGACTATCAGAATGCCAAGTAAAATCTATGTCGTGATTTAAAATGGTCTCGGACTTTGCCTGGCAAAATCTCTATCTTTTCCCTTGGACTATACCCGAATCACGACAAGGAAATATCCCAGGATTTTCTTCCTGATTTCTCGGGTTTTATCGAAGTGTCTGGTGCGAGTACTATTTTGTAGTAGGTAGTTATCATGTCACAATATATATATATATATATATATGTTTATCCACCGACAGATTGTTTCGCTGTATCACAGCTCATCAGTGTGGATAGACGTCTGGTTGCCTCTTGCTAGGATTGAAACCCGATAAAATTAGCGTCAGTTGGCGCATGGCATAGATGAATGGTGACTGAGGGAACTCGATTCAATTTACCGAAGAGTCTTGCTAATAATTAGCCCTAATAGTCAATGTTTACAAACCCACACTTATATCTGTCTGTATTATATATAATGTAAATAATGTCCACACTTATATATATATATATATATATATATATATATATATATATATATACCGGGTGTAACAACGAAATTGTACAATTGTTAGATTAACATCTGAAGAATGGTATCTTAGAAATGATTAAAGATATCTTACAGGAATTCTCCGAAGTTTTCATAAAGATATTGAACTCTAGTTTGAGCATTAAGAATGTATAATTACTTCCCAAGCTTAACAGAAGAATCGATTATAAACGAAAATGACACTTTCATCATTAATTAATCATAGCTATGGATCAGACGAAGGCTTGTAATAAAGTCCAAATATATATATATATATATATATATATATATATATATATATATATATATATATTCAGGATTCAGGATCATTTTCCAACTGATTCAAAATATTCTTCACGCCCTCGAACCTTCTTTCTGTCCTGGAATAACAAGTTGCCACAGAGGTGCCATATACGATTTCATTTTGAAGTGTTTTTTCACTGCTCCTTGGACATTCATAGCTGAAAATCCTCTCTCACGTGCCAAACGTCTTACGCATTCTTCTTCTTTTCTTTTCTTCTTTCTTCTTCTTCTTCTTCTTCTTCTTCTTCTTCTTATTCTTATTATTATTATTATTATTATTATTATTATTATTATTTCCTTTCAGTTTCCTTTTATGGAAACCCTTTTATGCTTTTCCTTTACCTATTATGATGTCTCTCCTCATGCTTTTTCCAAAAACTAATTTGAATAATGAGAAAAAGAAAGTGATGTTCCATAAGCAGCATTTTTAAATAGAATCGTTCATAAGCATCAAAGAATAAATTCATTAATTCTTTATAAATGTGTCTGTGCCCAATATGTGTGTGTTTGTGTGTATATTTGTGTACGTGTGTGTGAGTGTAGTATGCTGATGAAAAATACCGAGAAAGAAATAATAAAAATATGATTATAATTTATATTATATTATTAGGCCAG